ACTGAAGCATCTAACAGTAATATTGGAACAATACCATCGTGGAAATCTCGCGTGAAGCACAGGACCTCCAAAGCGTTGGCGGCATTTTGAGAATGTAAACAGGTTTTTGGCAAAACGTGGCATCTGTCACCAACGGGAGTCCTATGGATTTATACCTCTATGATCAGAGCCATAATCCACAGTGGTATTTTGAAGCAGAAGTGGGAAATATGCTTGCTAAACTTCAAATATCGATTTTCGTGTGAAGTAAAGGAGCTTTTTCTACAACACATGGCGCTGCTCTTGGCGCACTGCTGCTTTTGCCGTCATTTTGTGTCTTCATCCGTAGAAAAGCCTTTTAGGGCAATTTCTGACTAAAAAAATCGGACGTTGGTATAACGATGAGTTGGGTGAGGCGGGAAATTACTGTCGGCACCATTACTTTGTTGAAGAGATTCTATAATGAACTGCAGAACTGAGCCCGGCCTCTCACATTGTCGAATATTTACTGATGGCTGCAAAATTGACTCTGAGTCAGGATCTGGGGCCTTATCGAAGATGATGGGGATAAAATTATCTTTTCTCTTGTGGAATATGCTTTGGTCTTCCAGGCTGAGGTATTTGAAATCCTCAACGCTATGGACTACGTGGTGGAAAATAGGTAGAGGAGAAGGAGTTTACGTGTCTGCAGTGACAGCTAACCCAGGCCCAGGCGGAATGGTAGCGCGTACTGCTAGCCACTACACCACAGCGGCCGCCAATAGTACCTAGCAAAAAATAAAATATTTTCTACTTGCTAAAATTTATTGCCATTTCACAACTCAATATTGCAACTTCGTCTGCTTATTCTTACCAATGTAACTTGACTACGATTTCTCGCCAAAACTATGTATGCAAGTTTGTACAATTAGTTATTTTGTAGAAAAACAACGAATATCAGGGCTAAATTCAAACAGAAACAAAGAAAAATCAAATTAGCTAGAAGTAATTTGCAAAAGTAGAAGCCAGTTACTTTTCACAACTTGCAACTAATAACGCCAACGCGCGGCTACAGTGTTGCAATTTCTATGAGCAAAAACGATGAGCTGCAAAGTTGCATGCATAACTGAGTAATATCCAGGACAACAAAAAAAAAAAAAACCAACTTCACGTGAGGGATAATGTTGACTTCCGGAGAGGAACTTTAATCTCCAACTGCAGCTTCGTTTTATTATTGTGGATGTTGTTGTTGGTGTTAGTGGTGTGTGAGCGCAAGTGTTGCACTTATGGGTAATCTCATTAGAATCCTCAGCCAAACGTTTATAGCCAACTTCTGTTTACATATCTGTGTTTGAGAGAGCCAGTTATATGAATATGAATTTATATATCCACATACATATTTATGTATGAATTAAAGGTCTGCATCGGAATTCAGTTTGCTTCACAGTGAAGTTTTTT